ATCGCAATATATATTGACGGTTATTTTCATGGCGCTTTTTTTGTACAAATATATACATTTCACAATATACGTTTTTACTAATTATTATATAACATATTATGAAAAAATCAATGTTATTGCATATGTATTATTTTCACCTATAGTCTTAACTTAATACATCTTTTAAATAACTTTAATATATCAAATATAGTGACATCAATTATAAAAAACAGTTTGCTTAAACACAAAGCATACATAATAAATTATTATTTTATAACTAGAAAATAGTTATTTTATCTGTACATATGCACACTGATAGAAAACATTACAATGGTGCCGTTGGAATTGGTTGGATTTTATAAACCGCATAAAAAAGGACCGCATAAATACAGGTTCTACAGTATTTTTTTATTGTCATTGAATCTTCGTTTAAATATTCCAACATTTAAAAATAAAATAAATTGTTTATTAATTAACATTCCTGCATGTACAAGATGAATTATTATTAATAGATAGATTTACGTTCATATATACTCTCAGGAAATGTATTATGCAGATGCAGAGAAAACTGCTCAAAGCATCTGAACATTACAAGCATGGATGTATGTTTCTTGTTCCTGTTACGTAACCTTTATGTTACTGCATAACAACGGTTTTAACAATATCAACAATAAATCGTATTTTGGCCGCTCCGAATGAGTCCTCAATTCGAAGATTAATTAAAACAAAAACAATGAAAAAACTGGTTGGATTCTGAACAGTGAGTTTCCCATGAGTGGTCATTCACTCGAAAACATTGCATAACAAAAATTAGACGTTTCAAGAAGCCCCTTTCACAAAAAATGTAAGCAGATGTTACCTAAAAGATCACATTTGAATTTTTGAAATAAATAAGAAATGTGTCTAATTCTTTGAATGTTAGAATCACACTTCAAATTTATATTTTTTTCTGAAATATAGTAGAGTTACACAAATATTATATTTATTTCGTTTTAATGACAATACGCTAATATAGCTATTTATAAGAGTACTATTAAAAATTATTGATTAACATTTTTCACCTTTAACTACTGGCGCACTGAAATTTCTAAGAACTACTCGCGCGGTGTATTACGACAAGAAAAAAACTTGTTCAAGTAAACTAATGCTTTTTACTAGATTCATAACTATTTGTAATACATTAATATAATAATTTATTTATCAGCATCGTCCGCTATTATACCAACAGCAAGAGCAAGAACAAACATGCACAAAAACAACTTCTTTGTGTCGCAGTCAACACAATATTTCACCAGTATTTAGTAAACACTTTGGGCATAGGTTACGTTAAGTATCATAGATGGGGAAAAGAAAATATATAATTTCTTATAAAATTAGTGTACTTAGAAAATAAGTATATAAATATACAAAGTACTTAATATAATGTATGCACAATATATATTATAATAAAAATTATTAAGTATTTATAATAAAAAATGTGTATAATTTTTCATTGTCGTTGAAAAAAAAAAGTTGACTGATCTAATTCGTCAGTTTTCGTTGGTTGCGTGTAGAAAGGAAAACATGACATATGATGTTTGCGCGAAATTGGCGAGCGCACATTTCGGTTTCGCCGTATTTAATTTGCAAGATGATTAATGAAACAATAACCGGCTATAATTAATAAACGCCGCGCTATCCGCAAACAAAATATTCATTAATTCAGTGAAGTAATTAATATTTATGCACCGGCGAATTTGTTAACTCGCTAATTCGTTCGACAATTTTTTGCACTTGTTTATTAATTGTATAATATAAATTTTTTGATTGAAAAAAAGAACCGTATAATTAATCATGAAACCGTTTGGTTGCAGCAACATATGATTATATTGAGAGTAATTTAACATTGAATTGCGAATTTATATTAAAAAATTTCGAAAATTCATTGATCAAAAATATTGGTTTTCAGATTAAAAAATCAATGATTTTAATATAAAGACTTACATAAGAAATGTTAGATATTTAAAAAACAATAATTTATTTTCTGATTTTGTTTTAACAACTCTTAGATATGATTTTGTATAAACTATAAATATTATTTTTATTATGTTATAAAGAAAACTAGGTAGAATTGTAAGAAAAATTATTACAAATTAATGCGCGAATGTGATTATAGAAATATTATTCATATGTAGAAAATCAATGATGAAATCAATTGCGAAAAATAGTTAAATATCTGTTCACTTGCATAATTGTAACTCGGGCGCACACAAAAATGAGATGCAATTGATCAACGTCCATTGATGGTATCAGTAAATTGTAATAAATCGCGGTAAAAGCGACGAACAAACATAGAATTTTCGCCGTTCCGCTCTGCGACAAATCCATCATGACTGGAATTAGTGGCCTAATCTATGACATTTAACGTCCGTAGATTTGCGCATTTACATACAGCTTTCAGCTCTAATAACAGAAATTAAACATCACCGGATCTATAATTAACCGTTTTCTTGTACGCCGGATAATTCCTGGTCGCTTGAATATGCAGCATTTTCCACTTGGAAGAAACTGGCGACTATTGAAATACATTTCAGTTGGCCCGAAGCTAAGCCCCCAGAGCCGATTGGTAATGAGGCAAAAACGATGTACGCAAAAAGCCGATAATCCTTAAGGTGTAGGTAGGAAGGTCCGAGATTTAGTTAACATTCATGTAGTGTTTGCTGTAAACTGAGAGTTATACTTAAGAGTATCAGATTAATATCATTGACAGTGTCTACTTTATGTTTTCAAAATTGTAAAACTATTTACAAACTCATTTCTAATTCTATAGTTTCATTAATAATAACATAAAACAATCTTGTTAAAAATCTCATTGTTAATATATTCATTTCTCAAATATATGTCTGAAAAATCAAATTTTATTGATCTGATCTTTTAATTACACGCATTTTTTGGTCAATAAATAAAATATTATTCATAATGCTTTGAAATATTCCAGAAATTATTGATAATTGCTAATAATAGTTTTTTTTATAACTATCTACATTATTTATTTAGTATTTAATATTAATTATTTAAATAACAAAAAACAAAAATTTTAATATTTTACAATTAAAGTAAATCGAGCATATGTTTTTTAACAAATAAGTTAACAATACTACGTACACTACATTAGTGTATAAAGTAAAAACAAACTATTGACGTTTCGTAACTATCCATGAAATAATTTCGACTTACAAAACAAGATTGATTTCTACTTTATAGTTTCATATTATTTTGCAACGCTAATGCACTGAAATTCTATTACTTTTTTTTATCATATAATAATAAATTGTCGTCACTTATGATGGATACAATTACTCAAGTATATCCTATTGGAATAATATATTATATAATATAAAAACTATATAATTGTACGAGGGTAGTCCCAAAAGTACCCGACCTCACGTAGAGATGGCAGTTTATGTTTGAAAACTCTACGTTGTTTAGTATTTGTTTGACAACCATCAATAGTGAACGCTATCAAAGAATTTGTAAACTACAAAAATCATCATTATGTGATACAAAACTTTCATTTTAAATGTCTCAGTGCAACCAATATTATAGCCGAGCTAGATTATACTCTGGGGAAGTCTGCTTTTTCGTTTACAACAAAAAAATATTGAGTGGCAGAGGTCGTACGAACTGCCAAGACAAATATTGTCAAAACCGCACAATTCGAGGTATTGCTGATTCGAGGTATTGTATAATTATAAATATTGAACTTCAAAGAATATAATTGAGACAAATATTATAATATATTTTAAACTATTTGACAACTGTATAATTTAATTAAGATAGATGTAATTATATAAATGATACTCAAATAGAGATGATAAAAGTTGTAAACCACATACTTTGAGATGATTGGGTTGAACAACCTCGATGACCAATTAGAGAGACACCACGTATCATATTATCAATATTACATTAATAGATTTAATTGCTAATATATTTGTGTACTAAATCAAAAATATTACTTTCAAAATTATTAAGACATACTCTTAATGAGTATATACATATTACAAACATTTCAAAATCATTGCTTCAATGATGTTTCGTAATAAAATAAATAAATTTAATTCATTTTAATTGGTTTAAACTGTTGGTGGATTTAATCGAAAATAATTAAATGTCAGATAGCAGTAAAATTTCAACACGTCGAATGCATACTTTTTTCCACGCTCGCCGCAGTTCTATAAAATCGTCTTACAGTCGATTAATTAACTTCTCGCAGTGCGTTTTTTTTAATGATTGAAATACGGAGGATGTGATTGAAGAAAGGATTTCTGCGAAGAAACAATTAGCGCTAGAGCAATTAAAGACGGAGAGACGAACCGGTAATTACCATCTTATTAAACCCCATTACCGCAGTCAATATTAAAGTGGCTTAATTATCTTTTATGGCCGCGTGTTGTATTGCAATGATATCGACAGTTATACTAATCCGAATTAATTAATCCCTCGGAAAGGAGTAGAGAGGGAAACGGAGACGGCATCGGGGGAAACCGTAAAATTTTTGCGGCTACATGAAATATCACGCGATCCATATAATAATAACTTTTTATCTCTTTTAATTCCTTTCGTTCTTTTTTTAGTTTTATTCAGTCCTTCTGTGCAATAATTACGAGACACCAGGTGGATCCAATCAAATAGAAATAAATTTTGCTCTAATCCTCGTCTGGACACTAAGGTAGGTAATCAAGTTACTATACCATGTGTTTCTCTTTCTCGCTCAGTTTTATCATATTTATTGTGCTCGTGTGAGTGAGACGGAGCTGCCTACAATTATCTCTTAATGTCTTGTCATTTCGGATGTAACGAACGTCGATAATTATTACAGGAGCGTGCGCGCACACGATTACACTTTTTCAGGATTACGTGTGGGGTCCGCGACCGGCTTATGGTAAGCAGATGTCGGGGATGGGAATTTTCTGCCAATTAACCAGAAAGATCAATCTCGCTCCATTGCGCTAAACATATTGAGTCTTTCTTCTTCCTACCTTCCAGTTTTCGTGATGATCATTTCGGTGCCGAGCTCGTTGAACTTGTCCCACAGGTCCTTCGTTTCCAAATGGCAGGCGACGTGCCTGAGCTCCTCGCTTGTCCACCTCTCCTGCAGTAGCGGGTTTCGCTGGGTCGAGGGAGACCTGCGTCCACTCTGACCCGGTGCCGACGACTCTGACGTCGATGACACGTCCACCGGGGATTCGCGTCCACCGCTCTCCGCACCGGGACTCACCAAATTGCAGTCCACCGGCTCCGGCGTTGAAGTCACCGAAGATGCAGACGTCTCCACAAATTTTTCTGCAAAACAAAATCATATTATAATTACCAAATAAATTAATTTTTCGAGAGACTTGAAGTTCATAAGGAATTTTCCAAATTCCCTTTCACATAGTCCTTATCATATTTAAATTAATACTTTTGAAAATTAATATATTGTATAACAGTTTGATACCAAAACTAATTCAGTAAAAGTTAATTTGCGCACGCAACTTATTAAAGTTCGTGTTCGCACCTTTATATCAAAATCGTTTATGATTAAGTCATCTACCTTTCGTAAATAAATTACTTCCTTAATTAAATTGTCAATTCATCATTACAGATTACTTAATTAATATTTTATAACAAGTTATTCATAAAATAACTAAAGGAAATAATTTCAGATGACTGCAGTTATACAAATGTTAACTTATTGTTAAATCTATAACTAATTTAATACATAAAAACTAATCGTTTATTGTTTCATGTCAAGAATATTATTTAATGTTAAATAATAGTACTTCAAATGAATGAAACATGTTAAAACAATATAAAATATTAATATTTGACTGATATTATCGGACTGTCGCTTACATACCAACTATAAACAATTAACGAATGGGTTAAAGTACTTCGTTTAACGAAACTTCGTTTTCAGAGGTAAAAACAAAAAAAAAACGAAATAAACAGTCAACTTACATACAAAGTGAAATAACATATGAGTCTGAAATTGATGGTTTATGCATTCTTCTCTTTAATTTAACATTTGCAATTAACACTTTCTAAATCAGAAGATAATTTCGCTAAAAATGGATTCATTGATAAATATTAGACACCTTTTTTAATATTTGTTTTTAGCATTTTTCATCAGGAAATTTTAATATTGTCTTCATTTACTTTCTAACAAAGTTTTCTAAATCTTCCAGTAACAAATCATTATATATATTCTAAAATACTCTAAATGAAGCTTAAAATTCGTTATATCGAAACATATTAAATATTTTGGAAACAGTTCAGTTTTACACGTTTTTTTCCAGTATAATCAAATTATTATTTATGAATCAACAATAGTTTTACAGTTTATTGATTGTATCACTGATTATTAATGTGCATATTGTTTTGCAAATGGTGCATAGATTGTTATTCACGATCTATATTATATTAAACCACGCACATGCATGTATTTAATTAACATACAACGTCAGCAATTACGAAAATTATTATTGCATGTTACTTTGATAAAAATACATTACATTTTTTTCAGCTAATTGTAGTGTAAACTATTCGCGAAAATTATAGTTATAAACTTTAAGAAGAACAATCATTAGAAAAACTATACAAAATAATGAAAAATCAACAAAAATTTCAGATATTTAGTAATTTGTCCGTCATACAAATAAATTGATTTTAATGTATACTTATTTAATACTTTCTGTAAAACAAAACACATTCATGTAGAAAATAAGTTGCGCTCTACATAACACGAATAAAAAAAATAAAGCTGAAATTGTTATTGATTAAATTTAACGAAAGAAACAATAATTTACATTATGATTTTTTTTAATGTGCGTAAAAAAATATAAAATAAGTTTCTTAACTATTGAACTATTATAGTGAGTCATGCATTTTTTTTATTATTTACCGTATCTAATACAACCTAGCTTTACATACACGAACTCATCAATACTTATATGAGAAAATGGATTTACATAATAACCATGACCATGGTTAGAGTGAACAGCTTACATTGATTTATTTTATGGCGTTCCTCCGTAGGAGCGCAGAGAGAAACATGCGGTCAATTAAAATCCGATGTAGCAACAAAAGGGCAGGTTTTTTCACGAAAATAAGCAATAAAAAAAGGAACGTAAAATAAAACTAAACCGAAATTGTAAATGAAACGAAATGATATCTTTATAATAGCGAACGGCCACCACCGTAAATTTACATTTATAAGCAATAATTCTCTTTAACTGGCAATTAATGTTCCTTATTTAATAAGTTAACGAAGTAATCTCGAAATAATTAATACATCTGCGTGTCTGAAATTACAGAAGAAAGAACGAACAAAAAAAAAAAATTATACAACGTGGAATATAATATTCTTACTACTTCGAGGGGAATTGCTTCATTTTAATAATATATTTAATAGTCAGGATTAATGCATGGTTTGTAAATATGTGTGAGAGCTTTTGCTTTCTTCTCGTATGTAGGTGGTCAGTAGCGTAACCAATAAGTCATAAAACTCGGATCATCAACATTGTATCTGCAATAGGTAACGTGCTTTTCGTATGTATTCGTTTTAAATAATGCATCCGTAATGTTCGAGTTATTGTTCTGTGAAGTTCTCCAAGGCGGAAACAATATATGCGCACTACTTTCTAATAAACTTGGCATGTTCACAGCTCGAAAGAATAACACATAACGTGTTAATAATTGCAAATAAAATGATTATACCAGATATAACACCTCATTCAATAATTTCGTAGGATGATTGATGAAACAACAACTTTTGGGCAATATTCGACTGTATTCATCAACATAGTTTCCTTCAAGAGTGATACATTCATTCCAATGCTTCTCTAACATTTCGATACCCTTCTTGTAGAAATACGGCTTTTAGCCTTTGCTGTCCACTCAGCTGATGTTCGACTTGACTCTGGAGAATAGTAGTGGATCCAGGTTTCATCCATCAACTCACGAAATTTAGATTTTTTCATTATTTTGAAAAGTAGCATCACTAAAACCACTGTAACTTATGAACTAAACGCCAGACGGGCATCGTCTGAAGGTTGGTACTTCCTAAAAATTATATGGATTTGTCGATAGAGGCGCCATCTATATGCTACGAACTTATTGAGTGAGGTGTTAAATTAAAATAAATAAAAAGAATATTTTAAAAAGATTTCATAAAAAAAAACAAAATATATATTTTAATAATAATAATAGTATTAATTAAATTAATTTATTTTATCTCAACAAAAATCAATAAAAAAAAGAATATTTATTAAATTTTCAAGTTTGTAAAAGAAAGTTAAATATCAATACGCAAATTAATTGAAAAATATTTATTAACTTGAATATTATATTTAATTTAGTTTAACGCCGTAATACGCCGTGAAATATATTTGAGTTAAAAAATAACTAAGTCGTTAGCAAAAATTCTACAATGTTTACAATCAAAAATTCATTCAAATTTGAAAGAAACAGTAGCGGATACCAAAAATATTGAATACCACACAAATAATTCTAAAATGTTGATATTTTAAAAAGCTGAATTGTATGAAAAATAAATAATTTTTGCAGATAATCGGTTCGATATATTGGCCTGTTTGAAGCTGGACTAAGTAGATAGAAAAATAAACCACACTTGACTGTATAAAAAAAATAATTTTGTATACATTTTATTTTGTTTTGTTAATTAAAATTCAATTTGTTTGAAAAGTTTCAAACCAGACTGATCAAATCACCACTAAGCTGCACGTTTATATATTATATTTATTAATTATATTTATAATCCAAAGAAATATAGGAAAAAAAATGAATGTAAATATTAATCATATTTGCTGATGGTAGACAAATTAGAAAATTGTTTTCGATAGATTTGATCATTAGATCTAATCATTATAAAACATCTTGATTACAAAATCAATAACACTGCTATGATTGTTTTATATATGATTTGAAGTTATTACTAGAATTGAGTTCGGAGTAGAAATAATGTTATTTCGATTAAAGTGCATAAACAAATAATGCACATAACGTTCAGACATCGGGCATAAATCATGTTCACTCATTGAATTGGTGCATTTTTTTTGCTTTTGTTGTTGGATGAACCGATTAAAACATTAAATTTTGTATAAAAATGTATTTTTTTTTCTACAAACCGCATTCGGCTGGGAATTAAAAATGAAACAAAACTAACAAAAATACACATGCGGAGGAATGATCAGACACAACGGCAATGAAAAAAAAAAAACAAGCAACAATGTATAAACCGTAATTACAATAAATTATTAAAACTGCGATAGCAATCAGTTTGTTATTTGGGCGCCGTAGGTTGGAACTGGTTGCACACATTTATTTTTAAATTAGTTTGCCACGGTATTTTTGTATACATGTATTTCTATGTGTGTGTGTATATCTATGTGTGTGTGAGGTGAGTGTGTGTATTTTTAAGGTTAATCAATTATTGTTCGCACACACTTCAAAAACTACGTGGTTGGAATTTTACGCGCATGCATGCATAAATAAATGCATTCCGAAAATATTTATGTCTTAAATTCACCATTGGATTTATTTTAAATGTAATCGCGGCTCAAACATAATAATTTTCGAACAGCTGCTCTTTTTTATGTGCTTTCAGCTAATTTAGTGCAGTAGTCTTAATATTTCACGTCCCGAAATGTATTTTAATTTGTTCAATACGAATCTCTTGCATAGATACATTATGTGAATTTATTATAGAACATAGTTGTTCATGTATTAGATTTTAACATATGATCTATATTTATTGGCATGTTTATTTGTATAATGTATATCGACTATGTGACTGTTAAAATGAAAACATTTCTGTTCTACTCAATTGTATTATTGTAAGTATAGTAAGTACGGGGTGCACATTACCAATCCAAATACAATCTTTTACAAAAATTGTTTAAATTTATCAAATATAGGATCCAGTCTTGAACCCAAACAGAGACTTTGGTGGTAAGAATGCGCAAGCGCGATCATTGTTTCTGACTTCATTGTTGCACTCTAGTGTCCTAGCTTCGAGAAAATGTTAGGTTAGGTGAAGTTGCCCTAAGGTTTTATTTTTAAAAATACATACAAACCATTTGATAATATGGGTATTTTCATATCTACTGGTCTAGGTCAAGTGGCGGCAAGGTTTTTTTTAAATACATAAAAACAATTTGGTAATATGGTTATTTTCAAATCTACTCAAAACTAGTATTTTGGGTGCAAGAAAGGAACGTATACAAATATTCGATTATGATGTAAATAAGATTTAACAGGAGTTGGCATCCTTTATCAAGCAA